TCAACTATTCTGTAAGCTTTTTGTAGCATTGGTGCCAACTACAAACATCCTGAATTTAAGATAGAGAGACAGAAAGAAACTGTCTTCCCTCCCCTCGTCTGTGCTTGTATTCATGACCCAGAAACATATTTTTTTCCTTTGGTTTTTAGGTAGACTAAAAGACCTTGAGAAATATCAGTCTTCTCTCAGGCAACAGGTGTTTGCCTGCAATGACTTTTCCCTATTGTGAGAATTTATTTAGAACAACTGAACACTGAGCTGTAGTTTGAAAAACAAAAAGAAATGTGAGCAAACACTTGTTATCTCAATGTCTCTAATAGTAAAAATTATTTATAAATATTTTATGAATATTTACATAAAGGAAAACCACACAAATTACATAAAGAACATTTGACTGCTTTTCAAGCATAAGTTGATGAGTATCAGCAGGAAAGGAACAAATCAATATTTTGGGTTCAGAAGTCAACAGCTGAAGATGAGACATAAAATATATGTCAATTTCCTACATGGTGAGTGGTATAACTGTCAAAGGTTATTTTTCAGTTTAAAAGCCTATTTTTTCCCATTAAAATATCACTTGGTGTTCTATACTGTAATACTGCATTTCTACTACATACTAATACTCCATTTGGGATATTTAAATTAATAGTTCAGCATATGTAATTGGACTGTAAATGCTTTGGACTGGATAGGACACTGCTAGAAAGATCAACTTGGCTTTTCAGGCCAGTTTCTTTGGAAACCTAAATGAGAAGGACGGAACCATACATAATGATATTCTGATAACACTATAGGGCAAAACCACACAATAGTCAGTGAGAAGCCTAGTAGCTGATTTCTGCATCTGTTTAGTGTAAGGGGAGGAGAGATAACTGAAGTGGACTTCATAGTTTAGTAGCTGTAGTTTCATGTTTAGGTACCTTCAGTAAAGTTAGGCTGATAAACTTCCTAAGGATGATCCCAACAGCATTTTTTCCCCATGTGTTCTTTAACTTAATAATGAGCAACAGCCAGATAATAGTGAGCAACAGCCAGAGCAATAGAGAGATTGTGTGAGGGAGAAGTCTGTAGTAAGATGGAGGCAGTTAATGAAGTTTAAGATTACACTTTCTGTATAAATAAACACCTTCATTTCATTTAAAAACTCAGTTTTCATGACAGTAATATCTTAGGACAATAAATATCACCTTAATTCTGTAATATGTGAGAAGGCAGTTCTGGAGGTATATTTTATAAAATATAAGGGCTTTGCTGGCCTAGAGTGGAAGTAATCTGTGGCTTCTTTCTGTTCTACTTTAATGTAAGGAGATTTCCAGGTCTACGAAAACTTTCTAATAACAGGTGAATTTTGCGATCCTGAAATAAAACAAGACTAGTTCCAGGCACATATATTAATATGTATAACTCTATAATAATATATGTAACTCAGATAATTTCAATAACATTTATTTATTTTAATTCATTGGCAATCTTAATGTATACGATATTGTTGGATTGACATGTGACGCCAAAGAAGCTTAATTGACTGGCAATTTTAAAGTACTGACATTTTTTATTACAGCACTCTGGCATTGATTCATTGACATAGATGCTTTATATATTGAAATTCTACACAAATTACATGCAAAATGTAGTTCTTTCATATGTCAATATGATGCCTATGGTTGTAATTATATAATGTGCACACATCACATTAATAACATGGAGGAAATCTGCAGTACCAGAGGATTCTCTTGTATTTGCCTTAATTGCTGCTATTAGTAAAAAGTAAAAAAGCATTTGCTTAGTTCATCAAAATAAGTTACACAGTATTAAAGGAATCAGAGTTATATAGCTGCATTTCTCAGTATGATGTGAAGTTCAGCAGGGGCCTTGCTAAAATTATGCCTACATCCACTCCAATTCTACTGTACAAATAAAATTAAGCCGTTTGTCATGTTGGCAGAGCTCATGGGAATGTCCTTGTCATCTCAGAGTGAATTCTCTAAAGAGTTTTCCTATTCCTACATAATTTATTCACCAGTCCTTTGAAATGCAGAAAATTGCAGGGTGGAGTTATCCATGGCATTTGTGAAGGGGCAACTTGCTTTTGTTCTCGCAGCAGGTGCAAGGGTGGGAGAAACAAGATAAACTGCAGTAAGTCTTACTGGTTCACTTAAAACTAACTAAATAAAAATCCTATAAACAAAGAGGGCTTGCTGCATGCTTTACATCTAGTTATGCCATTTGGAAATTGCCTTCACTCCTTTTCACTGAGAGTGGAAGTTAAGATATTACTATATGAGCTTTCTAAATCACAAACTATTGTATCTGTATGTGGAGAAAATCTCATATGCAGTTGTCTGGGATCATGAATCCAATCATGAAATAAAAATAAGAGTTTTTTGAAGCTACCATTTTTATCACTCTTCTTTTTATCTTATTTCTTCTGTTACGTATTTTCCTGGGACATATGCCTATGTCTGTCAATCACCAGTTACTCTCTTGCAAGTACCCTACCGTGGTAACTGTTCACACTAATTAAAAAATATTGATTATCACCACAAATTCTTCAGCTCAGATCCTTGCTTGATCATACCAAGGAACTTAAGTACCTTGTGCAGTGTAGAATCCAATAATTAAAAAAAGGAATGGAATAATTAAAAAAAAGTTAAAGTTGCTTATTTAATCAGGAGGTTCATCATACCTCTGGTTTTGCCATATAGAGTCTGTTGTCATATTACAGTGGTAAGCTACTTGAATTTGAGTTACCTCAACTCTCCAGTTCCTCTGAAAGTTCTTTCTTCCATGCATATTACCATTCTACAATAAGTGGAGAGGCTCTGGCTTTTGAACATTGTGCATGAAGCTTTTTTCCCCTTTATTAAAATTCACCAAAAGACATACTATAAAATTTGAACCAAAATGGTAGTCTCATAGCACGAGACAACATTATTAGTGATAGGTGCTTCAGGAGATTTTAAGACATTAAACTGTACCAGTGATTTATTTCTATGTGCGTATCTCAGCAAACTTCTAATGGGCATCTGACTACACAGCTCTGTTATTATTGCTGTCCCATTTTATCAGTTGGCATAGCTTCAGGATGGGTAGATAGTAGGGGAATAATGCTGCTACACAAGGGTTTGAAAAAAGGACTTAGCGATTGATGCCAGTAATTACTTCTAAAGTAATAATCCAAGTGCTGTGTAGACAGAATAATTCTTTGGTGACAATGGCATGACTGAAAACACAGTGTCAAGGGTAAAAGCCGAGGCTGAGCCTTGAGTCACCATCAGTGATTTCGCCACCACTGAGAAATTAATTTCCAAGCCAGGGGAGGCTTGCAACACTTAGTCATAAAAAGGGAAGTGAATTCTTCTTTCTCCTTTGAATCAGCCATAGTAGTGTGTACCAAATATTATCTGTTGCTTTTTAATGTGCTCAGTGCTTCCTTTTTTTCACCATCAGTCTGTAATATAAATGTTAAAGTAAGTTGTAGCAATTATTATTATGCAAATCTCTCAGCAGCTTTCAATAGTTATAAATCATCAAATGCGTTTATAATGTTAGCTTCTCTCAGTAAACTGAAACAACTCACCCACTGTTTGTACATTTTAATTGGATGGAATGAATTCTTAGTTTCAATTTGTAATTATATACAAAACACCAAATTATATACAGATAAACCTATTCTATGTTTATTTGGAGATTGAGCAATCCCCAGAATTAAAAGCTGGAAGCTATTCCTCCATTATCTGAAGAATTATTTTTATTAGTGGAACAAATCTGGACCTGGTTAGCTTTTTTTGACAGAGTAAATTATTTCATAGCCAGAGGAGGTGGATATTATCATGTGTTTCTGCTTTTCAGTCATTCATAGAAAAATAAATTTTTATATAAAAAAATTCTGTAATTCTTGTTTACATAAAGTTGCATATTTAGCAATGTTAGTTTGATAAATATAGTTTGTAACTGATGAAGTAAAATAAAAGAATATTTAATCATAGGACTGATTTTTAAAATATTCAGCCTTGATCGCATGAGAATTTGTACATACTTCTATGCAATTAAACTTTGTATTTTTGAGAACATTTCTTTACATTTTTCTCTTCCTTCAAGCTGGCGTTACCAGTTTAATTTTTTATAGTTAGTATCCATTGTCAGTTCTCAGTCTATTCCCTTTGGCTCATCACCTTATAGGAGATACTATATACCTTTTAGAACCCAGCATTTTTTTGTCAGTCTAGATTTAAAGAGAATTATGGTGTTTCCATTACTCCAGGCTTTCTGCTTCACAGGATTTGTTGAGCCAGCTGAGCTGCTAGCCCTTCTTAACATCACTGAGGGTTTGGAAGGTGGGAGAATGATATGACAGGTGTACCTGTCACTGGGGAAATCTGTCAGCCCTGACAGTTTTCACTAACTTCCAGTGCAATGATATTGTAATAGCATGGTGATGTAAATGTCAACATTGTAAGAGCAACCCTCTGGAAAATTTGAGTGGGTGCAAAAAAATTTTTCACCACAGTCTGGGCTATCCCAGTTTTTTAGTTAGTGCAAATGTAGCACAGAATACGTGGGGATGAAAGAGACTGTTTTCTATGGGCAGTGTTTTGCAAACAAAAAATATAATTTTTCTATAGAGGTGCTTGAAAAAATTTCTATTCTATTCTATTCTGTTCTCATATTTTCAAAAAGTAATGATATTTTAATTGAAAAGAGAAATTTGTTTTGTTTGTTTTAGATTTGGTCAGATAATTTAATAGCTTAGAGAACAGTTGAGTGCTTGCATTGATTATCCATCTTAATGAAATACATTCTTTAATAACTTTATACATCTTGCACTGCTAAAATACTGTTTATATAAAATGATAACTACTAAAATATGTGAAATGTATTCAATAAGGCAATGCCTAGAACTTGCCAAGAAGAACATGTACTAATTCCTATCCACCTCCATTGTTACCTTAAGAGCAGCTCTCTCCATAGCAACTGAAAACTTTTCAAGGCAGCAATAAACTAATCCTCTCCAGCTTCCAGAGCACCATCAAGGAATTTTAAAAACATTGGACTTCCAGCAGCTAAATACTTCTGAGGATTCAGAAGGCCACAAAGCTAGATACACGAGCATTCTTTTTTCCTTCAGAAGGTAAGAAAATAACATTTAGAAATAAACGCTGACAACATCCTTGTAACAATTATACATATTTCTTACTGCTAACAGTAAAATATACCTAAAGACCAAAAGATTTCCTAACATTTAACCTTTATCTGAGTGAATACCCATTTGAATTCAGCCGTTCTTTTTCATTTTTTCATTCACTTTGTTAGCAGAGTTTCCTTAAAAATAAGATACGTCTTATACTGCAGATAGAAGAAGCTGAATGTATATGTAGCTGTTTAGCACATGTGCCTTATTATCTGGGTATATATGTCACTGCCAGCATATGCCCATGAATAAAATCAAAACTCTGTGGAAAACAGATATGAAACTCATTTTTCTTGTGATTAGATATTGAAATAGATTATTGTTGTTTTACTAGGAAGGATAGTGACAAGAAAGATTTATAGTACAAAATATCTTTTGCACCTAGAGTTAACAAGTTAAACTTGTCGCTTAGGCTGTGTTAGTCTTGTTTGCTCACTGAGTTCTTTGAGTGAAACTAAGACCTCAGCTTTGTAGCTCTTTCATCTGATCATAAAATATCACTAATTTTTAAGTACATCCTGTTCATTCTTGTTTTGTGCTGTATAGCTTGAGTTTAGTAACATTGGTAAAGCGTTTTGAAAATATAACCTGCTCTGTATCATTGCTATGTAACATAATTAGAGCACATTCATGTCAGTATTACACTAGTAATATTTATTTACAGCTATTTTTGCCACTAAAAACCTGTTTCATAATGGAATGAAAGTGAAAGAAATGGTATTTTCCTGTTTTCACCAAAAGGAATTATTAGTGAATGCAGTAACATAGCACTGAAGTGAAAGACATACACTTTATTTTTAAAAGGAGGGAAGGGCACTTTCAGACGACCTCTCGTTGGTAATTCTACAGAAGTTTTAAGGCCATGGTTGTCTTAGTTTCCTGCTGTTCTGTGCTGTAAAGCCCTTACAGGCTCCCTGTTGTTCAAAAACAGCTTGTCACTGCAAATCAGCTTAGCCGACCAATTAATAAATCCTTTCAAACATATTGCATTCAGACTAATTAAAGGGTTGGGGTTTCTTTTTTCCCCTTTACCATTCAGATTCCTCAGGTTTCCAGTTTAAGCTCTGAAGTGCAAACAACAATCCAACATTCAGTGCAGATCCCTCACTGCAAGAAGAGGAGATGTGTTTTCTGACCAAGCATTCAGCTCTTGGGGTGGTATGTTCTGCTTTCATATTCAGCGTGCTCATTGCTGAAGGACAGCCTGGGGAAGAGCATGGGCAGGATGGCAGCTATGCTCCCAGCAGAGGATATCTGATGGAAGTTTTACGCGTTCTTTCAGCTGAAAACACTGAGCTCCACATGAACCACTCACGAGAACTGGTCAAAATGTTACTGGAGAGAGCTGAGTGCCCACAGCGGATTTATGGCATGCAAGAGGATTGTAATCTGGTTAGTGCTTCAATTAATGAGGAGTATCTTTACAGCATCGTCAGTGAGTTCTAACATTATTTATTAGAGTGATACTGTCCTGAATACAGAGCTTAAACATGTAAAAAAAAAAAAAAAAATTGTCCCTGCTCTAATTTTTAAATTTTGAATTATTTTTTATTGTTTGAGCTCATGAAGAGATATTCCAAACATGACATGCATTCCTTAAAAATGCCATGCTTCTGACACATAACACTAATAATTTTCCTCTAGAAGTTTGGTGTTTGTTTTCCAACAAAAATTTTCCTACTTAAACCTGATCTAACAATAAAGCATGAGCTTGTTTTAGGCACAAGATTTCCACCATGAAAAGACATAGGTAAACACTGGGAACAGCGCAGACCAGTTTTCCTTCTTTTTTTTCTTTTAATTCATAAAAATAAAACCCAGACAGGATTGTCTCAGATTTATTTGCCACTTCACTGAATCATTCAAGATTTAGGGGAGGGTTTTGGTAAGCAGTTCAGGTCAAGGCAAATCAAAGGCAGAACAATGAATCCACAAATCCAGACTGAAACTGGAAATAGTCCAGGGTACAGTTTCACAGAAGGATTGGCTGTCTAGTTGAGTTGAGAATATTTGCAGAACTGATTCATGATTCAATGAAGAAAGGACAGACACAGTGCTAAGTGGGCAACTTAGCTGAAAAGGACGACAAAGGGCTTGGTCAGTCTTGGCTTTCAGTGACATTATTCTGGCTCTGGCACTGTTGTTCAGTGACCTACATACAGCAGAGTTTCACTTTATACCACAATAGTGACAGTGGTCATAAAGGTGAAGGCTTTCATGAGGTACTATTCTCAGCAATCTGCCAAACCAATGAATTGGGGATCTTTTTATCCTATGCGGCTGTTTATTTAATTGACCCTTTCAATAAATGCTCCTATTTCTCATATGAACCCAAATGTGAAATTTCGTACATAAGTAATGTATATTCCTGTTATTCCCTAAATGCATATAATTTTTTATGAAGGAGATTATGCACGAGGGCAATGGATATGTATCAGATATGATATGTATCAGATATGGACCCAGATCAAAAGCTGAGAATGTGTTAAACATGGGTCCTCCTAAATTTCACAAAACAGAGTTCTAGGTTTTTGTTTACCCTCTTTGTTTTGCTTCTCTTGCTTGGCATATTTTTTCATATGTATTTGTGATGTATTTGTGGAGAGTCTGCCCACTATGTCCTTGGATGGAAGAAATCTAAGGGAAACTTAGCTGGGACTTACTTTGGTCAGTGCTGCTATTCTGTTCAGGTTTCATCTTGGATATTTCCTAGGGGAAGAATTAGAGGACTTTCACCATATGCAGTACTCCTCAGTGTTGGCTGAGTCAGAAACACTGCACACATCCTGTACTGCCAGTGTTTAAGTGCCAGTGCCATAGGAACACAGTTGTCTATAGGAAATCCATGAGAGAGACATGGCATCTTCAGTCACATGGAGCCCCCATGGCACTGTGCTGAAATCTTCCATGATAATTTAACAAGATTTGGTAAACCAAGACAGCAAAGATTGAGCAAGGAGCACTATTCTTCAAGATCATCAAAATTTGAAACAGAATACCCCACCTTACCTTGGTATTTTTTTTCCTCATATTTGTTGGGAAGCACTAATTGATTTCAGATTCAACTTTCCCTTCTAAATCCAGGATTCTGTTTATACTATGACTTTGTTTTCAGATTTTTTTAATTATTATTTTTAATGATGTCTCTAATGGACATTTAAAAGCAGTGAAGTTTAACATTTTTTTTAGACTTGTTTTAGTTTGTTGTTACATTCTGGCCCCAAGACTCTTTGGGCAGAGCTGACAGCTATTGAATGGCATCTGACACTTCTTTATCTCCTAAGCACATAGAAGTCATGTATTTCTCGCACTGGTGTGACAACTTTTTCTGAACTTCTGGCTCATTAAACAAAAGAAACTCAGAGTTCACTGCCCAAGTTCTGGGCTTCTCTTTTATAGCAAATAAGAATGTCTAAATCAAGCACATGTAGATGTTATTCCTCTAAAATATTAGTAGGAGAAAAGAAAAAAAAACTCAACCAAAAAACCACTGATGAACCAATTTATATGCTCTTATTAACTCTTCAAGAGTGACTCTCCATGGGTAGGCATATACTGTGGAGTAACTGCATCTTTTACAATGCACCTGCTTCCTTCCAATTAGCAATTTTCTTTTCAGTCATCTTCCTTGCAAGAACAAACAGTGGCTTCAGTGACTGCAAATTATCCTCACTGGATTTTGAAATCTTACAGAAATCTTTGAAAATCTTTCAATATATGCAGTATATTTATTGTATTAAGTGTTCATAAAGGCTAGTTGACTAAATAGAGGTCTTTAATAACATTGATAAAGAAGAGCCATATTCCTCCTAGCCTGCATACTAATTCTCAGAGACATGCATTAGAAAAAGTTAGACTTACAGACCATGGTAGCCAATGTAAGCAGGACACAGTGGAGTATACTGCAATCTAGTTTATTTATGAGTATAAATAGTTAATTTAGATATTAATATCCACAGGGTTTTTCTTGGGTTTTGTTGTTGTTGTTGTTGTTTTGGGGTTTTTTTTCAGACTGAGCATTTTGAGAATTTTTGTTAGAATTATTTATATTACAAAATAGCAGTTCTCTCAATCCCTCCAAGGAACACTGGGTTCTGATCATAGCACTGTATGTTTCATTAACCCAGCTTCAGTGTAGGAAAATCAACCAACATATAGGGTGAGCCACACTGACCAACATACCATGCTGGTAGCCACAAACAATTTATTCTGACAAACTAGACTCTGTCTGTATTCCTTAACTTGTTAGAGTGCAGTGTTGATCCTTCAGTGGCACCTTCATGTGTTGTAGTTTCTTCCCTGAAATGTACAGTTTGGCTGCTCTACCATAATGGTTGAGATTAGCTGACACACCTGTATCATGCTTGGAAAGGAGTCTGTTGGAAAAAAGCAGATAAATAATAAATGACATTAGTTACAGAATCTCTTCGAGAAAGATTCTTTATTCTGGAGTTCAGTATCTGATTTCTCATATCCTGACATAGACCTCTATTATTCTTCTTGTCTAATTTTAAAGACTAACTTATTTTTGAGATGGCAAAAGTTTCTGGAAACTGTCTTTGTATCAAAAAAATTTGAGGTTTATGTAGACATATGTAAATATACACATATATATATATGGATTTAATAAAAAATCTGTGTTTAGATAGAAAGCCTGCACAGGGTGAATACATAATCTCAATCCCTTTTGAAAGGTATTTGAAGAACTAAAACGTGTTGAGACCTTGTGCTGGCTCTCTGCACTGGATTGTATTGTTGCAGTTAACAGAATTCATTGAGAAAAACATAAAAATAGCTGTGTGATTACAGGGTCAATTACTTCTTTCAACAGTGCATTGAATATAATGCAACTTTTGTTTACATACCCTGAATTAATTACGGTTTTTATCTTACTATGTAAACACATGTAGAATGCACAGATGAAAATATGAATAGCCTCATCTAATAAGCCTTTATCTAATATACTTATAACCAGAAGTATAATCTGTTGAAGCCAGTGGAAGACTTTTAATCTCCACAATGATTGATCAGAGTTAGTCCTAGTTAGTAGAGAGTCTTAAATCATCAAATCATTGAATCACAGAATAAACTCATAGAATGGTTTCTGTTGGAAGTACCTCAAAGATCATGCAGTTCCAAGCCCCCTGCTGTGACTAGGAGTACCTTCCACTGGACCAGGTTACTCAAAGCCCTATCTCTAGGACATTTCTTAAAAACTAAAGTGGCACTGGACAAAAAACTACAGTGTGATCTTACTCCTACAGAACTGCAATGAATTACCTGTACCTTCCTCCTGCCATTCCATCAGCCTACATCTGTGTAGTTTCAGGTTCAATCCCTTAAATATAAAAGTTGAATTCTCCTTTTGTCCTTCCTAATTGTATTTGCAGATGCCTGGCAGTTTGTTACTTGAGCTGAATTTCAGTTTGTTTTTATTTCTTCACAGTGCCTTGAACCAGATGCTTTGTTATTAATAGCTGGAGGAGATTTAGAAGACCATCTCAGTGAAGAAGTATTTGAGAGAATTTCTCTTATTCTTCTCTACTACATTCTTCATCGCAGAGATGTATGTTCTACAGAGCTCATCTTGAGCAATAAGGATTATAAATTTTACCTACAGAGTATGCTTAGTTTAAGACATGATGAAGACTGTTATCATTTTTCACGGAATGAAACTGAAGATATTTTAGCTGCAGTAAGGCAACATTTTAAAACTTCTGAAACCCAGGTAAAGAAAACATAAGTAAATATTGCTTCATATTTATGACTGATATAATGCCTTTTATGTTAGTGCAGACATCGTATCAGTATCATGGTCTACCAGAAAACCAGTAAATAACAGTGTAAGAGCACGGTCTGAACACTGGTGTGCTCTTCTACATGCTGTTTAATGTTAGCCTTTTCCTTGGGTTGCTTTTGGCTACCTAGCACTTCCACAGTGTCTGCTGAGACATGGCTGGTGAGATACTGCATATTAGGCACCGTTCCCAATAGGTAATTTAGGTATAGTTGCCCTGCTTAAAGCAGATGAAAAGAGCATAGCTGTGTAGATGCAAGATCTTGCAATTGGCTCCAAGGACAGAAAATACTTTCTCATCTCTTAGTATTTTGTCGCATATATATTATATATATATATATACAACATATATATATACGTGTGTATATATATATACATGTGTATATATATATACAAGACTAAATACTAAGAGATATATATATAATATATATGTATACTAGCAGTGATTGTATTTAAATGGTATAAAGCAGAACAGCTCCAAAACTGATCAGGCTGTATAGGAGAAGTAACAAATCATTTTACTGTGATGAAATCCTTGCCAGGTTCTACACTTCCGCGTCTATCCGAAGCAGGATGGAATAAGGAATGTATCCAAACAATGGTTTCCTTCAGTTGGAACACATAAATTTGTGAATAATTATCTACCAGCACAGATATGCCTTGTAGAAAGATTGATACAGATTAGCTTAAAGTTGGAAAAAAAAAAACAACAAAACCAAATTGAGTATTTTCAGCTAAGATCATCCTTACTAGTCAGGAAACGTGTAGTGAGTTTTCTCACTGCTGCTGTTTATTTTTCCTTACCTCAGGTAAGGATCTACAAAATAATAGAATAATATTCTAGAGTTCAAAATCTAAGAAAACTGCTTTTCTTATAATGGGCAATAAAATAACTTTTTGTCAGTTAAGATAACTCCTGAAGTGCAGATTGACTTCCCATCTGTAGCCCCTTAGATCTGTTCATAATATTAAGTTAAAATTGGTTTTCCTGCAAAGCTTGAATTTACCCTTTTCTTTTCCTTATAATTAGATTTTAATTTACATTATACTGTAGTAGAGTTTTCTGCACAAACAGAAGATGGGTAGGAGTGCTGGCTGTGTCCAGAATATTGAGGGCCTCCAGTTCCTCTTTCTGTCTTCTTTATGTAATCATTTCCCATCATAAATTATTCATTGACCAGTACTTTTGTTTTTGAGTCTTGGTGAACGTGCTGATTTCCAAGAACTCTAATGGTATCTGAGCAACTGTAAAGAGGCATCGGTGTGTATTTGGAATGTCAAGATAGAATAACAGCCCAGAAAGTGCTTTACTGTGTGTTCTGTTTGTTTATGCTGGCAGTATAATCAGTTGTCAAGCCTGTCCAGTAACTGAAGCTTCACCACTCACTGACCTGAGGGAAAAGAGGTTTTCTTAATGAAAGTTACTCAAAACATAATAGCATAATACTTAAAATCACAACACCTGAGTTATGAAAAAGTGCCAATGATGCAGGGTAATAATAGAAGAAAAACCATTTTTGGTGACAGTGTTTTTGTTTCACAGAAAATATCCTCTTCTCATTCATAGCACCTAATATCTTGTTTGAAATGAGAGATTAAATGTTGGGTTGGCAAAATTTTGATGTGTAATGAATGAACAGGAAAAGAAATGCCAGCCAGCCTCCTCGCTGCAGTGTTTATGGCCTACATACAGAGAGCTGAGTATGAATAAAATAAATTACCATTGTATTGGCTCATCTAGTTGTCTTTTTAGTTTAGTTAATATGAGTTAGAAAGAAATATTTTTTGCCTTTGTTGTTTTTGTTGTTTCTTTCAAACCCCAATGTGTGAAGTGAAAACAAACAAAAAAGGCAAAACTGGATGGAAACAGGGATAAATTTCCAGGTAACGGAGACAGACCTGCAGACATCCACACACATGGTTATACATCACTGACTACTATTTCTGTTTGGTCACCCAGCAGAGAAGTCACTCTTTATTTGCAAAATTATATCTTTCCACATTACCCTCAGATAACTACTCTATAACAAAATATTGATTCCATTTAATAAATAGGGAACAAAAAGCATTTAGAGAATTCTCACTGAAGTTTAAGATGAAGAATTAAAGTCTATATTATTTAAGTCAATTGCCTGTGCCTTAACGAAAATTCCTCTCTTTTCTGCCACTTTCTGGAAGTAGAATGGAGATGCAATTGAGGACACTGGAATAATAGAAACAGCATGAAAATAACGCTAAGAGAAAATAACACTAAGCACAAATAACCTGAATGAAGAACTGTACTTCTTCCCTGCCAGACACAGAATAAAAGTTCAGGATTTTTAATTCTATGCCTGTTTTCATGAAAATGTCCTTTGTTTCACTGTCCTGCTGTCAATTACAACTTCAATCTTAATTTTTTCTACTCTGGCTGTCTGTGAAAGTGTTCTCCCCAGTTTCTCCTCTTGTCACTCCAATTATTTAAATGGAGGTGACCAGGGTTGTCTTCATGCTGTTTTCTCCTGATTTCAGTGTGTTGATGTGAGCACTCTGGAGAAAAATGCTGACATAATGGACAGAGATGGTGCCGATGAAAACAGTCTTCCACGCCTGGCTGCTTTAATCATTACTCTGGCTCTCCAAGGAGTCTGCATGGGGAAAGCAAGTTTGCCTTCCCCAGAATTCTTTATAAAATATATCTTTAGTTCTCTAAACAGTACCACTGAGCTCCAAGTGACAGGTAAGCTATTCATTAATCTCTAGTTGTCTTTTGCAACACACATTTCGAGTAAACTATCTTTAAATGCCTAAAGGACTTTTTTGCACTTCATTTTAAACATTTCATTTTGGAGTTTTTAAGTAGTTTCTTCTAAATTTAAAAGACAAGGTTGGAAAAGAAACTCCTTATTTTGATAATTCTCTGAGAGGTATAAAGCAAATTGCTATTGAGATTATTATGTTTTATTCAACATTAATTTATAACTGAATTGCTCAGCACCATCTGAACTACCCAAGAGAGCTCTGAGGGTGGTAATCTAGCTGTGAGGGCAGAGTTCACTGGGGCTTCATTTACCTTTCTTCTTTATGCATATCTTCATACATTGCAGGACTCTTTTAGGTATAGATGGGATACTTCTTGTAAAGTAGCCAGATTAGATACCTCAGTAACTCACACCTCGGTGTAGATATACAGATCTGTTTACTAAAGTAGCCAATAGAAAGTAGTTAAACATCTTATCAGAAGCCTTTTTGTAAGATTTACCCTTTAGATCATACCATTTTTATTTTCTGATTAGCAACATTAAAGGATTGTCACATGGAAAGTTTCTTATTCTCATTGACCTAAACTCCTTTGAAATCAATTTGTGGACTGCTTTTGTTTCTAATGGACAAATTAAGATTTACAGAAACTATCACTATGGTTTTATTTGAAAATGAGGGGGTAAAGAAGGGCATAAATAAGATAGGATAAGGCATACCCCCTCAAATAACCAAGCATTTCATCAGCAGAAGCACCCCTTGCACTCAAGCTGTCATGGGGTTCATCCCTGCATTATCTCATGTTTGGATTAGGGATCCTGACTCCCTCCTTCCTATTTCAGTGCTATGAGCAGGCATATTTCTTGATTAACCAAAGGAGATAGAAAATCTGCTGTCCTGTGTTCCACTTCTGAAATGCAAGAGCAGCACAGTGTCCTGAAGATTGATGTCACAACACCCTATAAAGGATCTGTATTCTGATCTGATCTGGACATGATGACTAAGTGTGGGGTTCCATTTACACAGGAAAATTTTAAGAACAGTGAAGTTCTTTAGCAATAACTAGACAACTTTGTAAGAGATTGATGATTAAATGAAAAATGAATTGCCTTTCAGTCCCATCTGTTTTCTTCTGAGACAGTCATAGGCAAAACATCTGGAGTGGAGTATGTAAAACAGGAAAGGCTGAGTATCTAGGTGTCTTGAACTTCTAGAGTTGTTAAAGTTGCCTCCAGTACCAAACTGAGAAAACAGTATTAATAAGGAATTGAACTAATGTTATAGCTAACAAAACTTTAATAATTATTTTTGGTTTTATCTTCTAAATGTGTATTTTCCCATGGTAACATATCTGTTTTCTAATGAATTACTAGAACTAGAACAACTACTAAATGTGCTTACAGCCAAAAAGACCTGCACTGTAAATGGACAATTCCATAGTCACAAAAGAAGACGTTACAGTATGGCAACCAGAGATTCTGGAAGAAAAAATACTCCATTCAAAGGAAACCATACAAAAGGAGACTCTCTGAAAGGTTATTTTGAAGATCATGAAAGGAACACAGATTGGGACCAGGTTAATTTATTTTTCTGTTATTATAGTATTGGTCACAGAATTTCAAACCTCAAATTGTTTTGCAAACAGTACATAATTTCTGAGGTAAAATGTATGAGTTTCAAAAAGTGACGTCGATACTGATGGAAATATATTTTTAAATAGTTATATTTTTTTAAATATTAGTTGGGGGAAAAACTTTATGGATGTTGACTGGATGATTAAAGTAGCTGGGAAGGGCTAACAGAATAGCTGGTGTTACCTGGAATCAGGTGGGTTTTTAAGACACAAATGACTGTGTTATTAGAGATTTCTTGTGCTCTTACGTCACAGAGCTTCTAGGGTCCCTAAAAATGACCTGGTAGAAGGAAGGGTTGTTTTGTACTAAGGAAAACAAGGTAAATTAAGGTTTCTATGAAAGTTCCTTTTGAAAGGCTTCTTTTAATATATACTTCAAAGGACATGTTTCTATTAATTTCAGGTTTTTACAATTTACACTAACTCAGTGACAATGTTTATTCTTCATTTGGGAGAATGAGTGATGTGCAATTGACTTTTGCTGTGTGGTCATTATATGATGTGGAACTGAGACAAATTGCCATTCAGATAAATATTTATCTGTGTAGTTTTATTGAATCTGAAATGCATAATCTATCAATAGATTTCTTTATTTCCTGCTGACCACGAAAGAGAATCATGTTGATCATCATGATGAGGCTTTTAATGAGGTCTCAAAATAACTTTTAATTAAGGTCATTTTAAATATGTTTCATATAAATTTTAAATTAGGAAGGACAGAAATCAGTTATGGCACTGTCTGTAAAAGAAGTAAAATTGTTCTCCAGTAATAGGAGAATTTGTGAAGCTCAGTTTTTGATTTCTTGAACTTCTGAGCTTGACTGTAGCTCAAAAGATAAGTATCTAGTGGAGTTATCTGAGTAGTCAACTGAGAGCCAAATATATGAAGAAGAAATCACTAAGAAACATCTGGAGAGAAGATAATTGCTCTTCTGTATTAATTCCTAGTTTCTCTATTTTTTTCCATTCCTCTTCTTTCTAGCTATGTCTATATTCCTTGACATATTTCATTAGAACACTTTGTGTTTCACTGTTGTGTTGCTAATTTTGTCCCATGTTTTCTGCACTTATCATAGTGATTGTGCTCCATTAGTAACAGATTCTGCTACATACAAGAAATTTACTGATTTATGACTTGTGTTTGCTAACTACATTAAGACCTGTAATTTAATTTTCAGATAGGAGTCATTATTTGAAACATTATCATGGGAAAAATGCCACTGCTTTCTTTTTAAGTCATCACTGTCTCTACATTTAAAATGTGTATAAAACAAGAAAGTAGCAGGTGATCTAATAAGACAAATGATCTTGAATTCCATTAAACTATGTCACAATATTCACATGCCTTTACTATTTCTCATTAAAAAAACATGGATTTTGCAAACCAAAATCATCCATCCATCTAGTTTTTCACATGAAAATATGCAAATTTTATTTACTTGTTTCTTTAGTTTCACTCTCCAGGAGCACACACATAGTTGCTTTACTAATGTTGTCTTAGTGCTCTGCCTCCTTAAGTTAAAAAGCTTAAAAGGCTGGGACTTGCAAGTGATGGTGAACGTTGCTGCATCCAGTTGGTGGCCGGTCACTACTGGTGTCCCCCAGGGACATTTCATGCACCCCAGGGTGCATTCGGTGGTCATTGCCACCAGGGCACACCGGTGGCTCACGTTCAAGTCATCCATCAGAACCTACCCCAGGGCTTTTATCTATAAACCCACCTTCCTTCTGGTCTGTTTTCCCCAGCCTTCATTGACGCATGGGGTTATTCTGTTTGAAGCACATTTGTCTTGGCTGATCATCATGAAGTTCTTGTCAGTCCATTTCTTTGGCTTGTCAAGATCCCTCTAAATAGCAACCATGCCAGTCAGCATTTCAACTAATTGTCCAGTTGGATTTCACCTGTCAGTGCTACCTGGTGCAGTCTGTTCCATCACTCAAGTTGTTGGTGAAGGTGTTAAATAGTATCATTCATGTTCTGACTGCTCAGCAATGCTGCTTGTAATCAACCAACGACTTGATAGCCACCAACTTGATACCAGATGTTGGTGTTTCCTACTTCCAGCGTCAAAAATTCTGCCTAGAATAGGAAAAATTAAGGTCTTTTCCAGTATGGTAACTCTTGAATTGTCTTCATGGTCTCCTTTGGCTTGAAGGCAGAACACAGTAGGTCCAGGTGGCAAAATCTTCTCTTATCCTGAAGACTTGAATGTGGTTTTCAAAATAAATTTATCAGCGCTCAATTCCTTCAGCTTCTTAGTGAACTTCATGGCATATTTTACTTCACTAACGGATGAGCAACAGCAGGACGGTGTTGGGTTTTAACTGGGTTACTTAAAAGTAACTAAACTTTTTTTAAAATTCATTTAAACAGCAATTTTATTTCAAAAGAAGCTTAAGCTTCAGTGATTAGGAAAAAGTATTTAGGAATCCCTTGATTCTCAGATGTAGACCAATTTAAATGAAAGAAAAAGATATTTTTTTAAATTGAATCACAGCTCATCAGATGACATTAAGAAATGAAGATTATTCCTCTAAGTAAGATAACATATTTGATCTGGATTCCTTCTCTTTAAAAGCATTTACAGAAATTTCCACTAGAAGTGTATTCTATCGCTAACTGGTCATGGTTTTTCTAGAAGTTTCATCCTGGAGATGGAAAAGCAATTCTTCATGAAAATTTGTTGAAATATAAAGGTTCCCAAGAAAAGTTCCTTCTTTTAACAAAGACGTGTTCCTAATAGGAACAAAAAGTAGTTGGAATTCTGAAGTACCTCTGATAATACAGTTATTAAGCAATCTTTAGACCAGATTTAGGCTATGTAACATCTAGTTTGCTGGCCTTAAGTGACATGTCATTATTTAAAGAATTAAAAAAATTCCAATTTATTTCCATATCTTACTGAAGATCCAGCACAAGGACAAATCTAAGTATTTCTTCTGATGTAGTATCTTATATTAATAGCACTATTATTGCAAACAATGAAGTTTTACATTAATGACTAAGAATATAATTTGTGTTAGCATTAAAAAGAGGATGGTTGGGCACTGGAACAGGCTCCCCAGGGAAGTGGTCACAGCACCAAGGGTGACAGAGTTCAACAAGTGTTTGAATGATACTCTCAGGCACATGGTGTGACTCTTGGGGATGATCCTATGCAGGGCTAAGGGTTGGACTTAATGATCCTTGTGGGTCCCTTCCAACTCAGCATGTTCTGGGATATTCTGTAAAATATTTAGCACATATAATGATAAAATGTTGAGAGATATTATTTTGTCAGATCCTTATGGTATTAATCAGCTTCCATAGATATTGTCCTGTTGCATCCCAAAGATTCCGGTCTTTCTGAAATATATAGTAGTATCAAGTTTAATTGGAAAAAAATTGGAATAAATTAAAATAATTTAACTAATTTAATAAAAAAAAAGACTATATAAACCTCAAGTTTTTTCTAGGTTATACAACCTTGTGTTCTTCTAAGATTCCATATTTAACCTCAACATTCACATTCAGTAACTCTGTATACTCTTCTACAAAGGTTTGTTTCTCTGCCAATGAGCTTGTGAAGATATTTTTGAAAAATGGTTCTTCCTCCATTTCCAAGGATCACTTCAAGCAAATCAGTCCAGCTATCATTCAGCAACTTTTAAGTTGTTCATGTCAGCTTCCTGACTTCAAGCAGAAAAGGTTACCACCAACAACTGTGGAAAGTGAGTTATGTTGTTATTAACAAAATACTGCTTAAATCTGGATAAAGAGGTGCAGGGACTTAACTTCTGGAGACATTTTATTCATTAATAAACCAAAACATGAGAAGATTTATGCACTCTGTAATTTATGCACTTTATAAATTCGTAGCATACAACTCAGATAGTAGTACTATATCAAAAAGTGAGGGGATTCAATGGTCTTAATTTTATATTAGATGGAATCTATCTCATTATGTAAAGTTTTAAGCTTTATTCTTCCCATTTGAGGTCTGCTTGATGTTGGCAGCAGGTGGGCCATAACAGGTCCTTATCTGTGGGTTGCAGGGCAGTAAGGACTTACTTTGTGAAATTTTCTCCAGGTTTATATTAGAATCATTGCACTGCTTACACATATAGCCTCAAGGTTACATTGCCTGGCATTTTATACCGTGATGTGGCAACTACCTGATATGGACAAGTTCTGCATGAATGTTACTGGGTTTTCAGCTTGTGATAGTTAACAGCAGAGAAGCTTTGAGAAGGTTTCTGTGGGGAGGAAAACATCCAGAAGAAGAGTAACAGGGCAGCAGGACTTGTGTGATGGAGCTGGAACAAGAACTGAGAGTATAATCAAATTGTTTCCAGTCACAGTTTTAGCCCTCACATATCACTGCTTCCAGTGATTTCTGCCTCATCTGTTCTGTTGATTCCACTTCTCCTGTAACCAATCCTCACTCTACCTTATAAAAAAAAAAATCTAAATCTGATATGACCTAAGGGCTTCTTAATGTGTTGGGTTTTTGTTTTTTTGGTTTCTTTGTTTTTTTTACTTTAAACCACCGATATCTGGGAAGTCATTACAAACCAAGGTGTGCTGGTGTATTACAGGGGACATTAATTATGGTGGAGCATTTAGTAGTCAGGAATGAGCAAAAAGGAAAGGGTATATAACCATAATCACCTGCATCTAGAGCAGCACTTTTTTAGGCTACAAATCAATGTTTCCAATACCTACGTCTTTTAGGAGCTATTAAACTTTCCCTGCATCCTGCTGGCCAATAATCCATATGGAACAGCATATAAATTAAAAAAAGCATGGAAGGACTCTCATGGATATCCCAATAATGGTTATAGGAGAAAAAACCATACAGAATAGGAAAAATCATTGTGCGTCTTCAATAGGCAGCAGTCCTTCCTAATGAATTCGCTTTTCTTATTACCTGAACACTTTGCAATCTTTACTGCTTTGATCTTTTCTATGCTACACAGATATGACAATTTTTCAGATCAGGAATCAAGGGAGAAAGAAAGAAAAGAAAGGAATTTAACCAGGTCAAATGCAAGGTTAATTAAAAATTCACTGTTAAGTTGGATCCTTCCAAGTCTAAAGCCATCAGCTTAATCAATGATATTTTAGTGGTCTCATAAATGTGAGAGATGAGAAAAACGGAACTATTCAAGTACAGAATGGAATTAATAACACCCCTTTTTGCAGCCCTTTTCCTCTGCTTTTTGACAAAGGAAGGTTTCTATGACCACAGGAACACTTTTGCTGTCTTGATACAGATAAAGGACTACATGTTTGACCTATGTGTGACCTAGTGACCTGAGCATGGGCTGATTAATTATATTCTCAGTTCTATTTTACTGACAAGCTGTGCTTTTTTGACTGTCACTAAGGCCTGACCTTCCATAAATATCTACTATCCCCTGTATTTGGATTTGCAGTCTGTGAAATTTACTGTCTGATTTTATGAGGTGCTGAGCACTTGCAGTGCTTTTAACATGAGAAACATTGACAGTTTTGAATATTTTGGCATTAGTTCCTTTATGTGTGTTTCTCTTCACTGTTTTACCTCCACCATAAGATTTCATACAGATTAATCAGGATTTATGTTGTGCAAAAGGTTGGAGGTGTGAGTGGCATGTAACACTGAAAAAAAAATCAGAGTAACCATCAAAAAATATCCAAGTAACCTGAGAAAAATGAGTTGGTGGTCCTGATGTGGTAACTGAAGGGATGTCTGTCCACAGCAGATTTGTAATGTAATTTGGACCAAAATGTTTATGCTTACAACCTAAATTAGATTGTTACATCCATTTGAGATTTTACACCTTGGTTTGTTTACAAAAAAATAGAGAGCAATAAAACCCAAGAGAAACAAGTGATGCACGACACAATTGTTCACCACCTGTTGATTGATGCCCAGCCCATCCCTGGGCAGCAATCATCCCCTCCCAGCCAACTCCCCCAGTTTATATACTGGGCATGACATTCTGTGGTGTGGAATGGCCAGTTCAGGTCAGTTGTCCTGGCTGTGCTTCCCCCAGCTTCTTCTGCTCCTCCACACTAGCAGAGCATGAGACACTGAAAAAGCCTTGACTCAGGGTAAGCACTACTTAGCAACAACCAAATCATCAGTGGGTTATCAACATTTTCTCATATTGAATCTAAAACACTGCACTGTACCAGCTTCTAGGAAAATTAACTCAATCCCAGCTGAAACCAGACAATGAATCACTTCTCCCGTGTGCTTGTGCATAGAGGTGTCAAAACATACCCTCAAAACCAATTACAAATACAAACCAAATACTCAAACACAAATACTGGATGATTAAAGGTGCCCTTGTTTTGTTTCATTTGTTTTCCCCTACAGAATATGGTTACAGCACTGTTGCTGTTTTACTTATTACTATTGGATCTATGTTTGGTACAACTCTCATTTTATTTAACTCCTGTCAAGAAATCTATACACTCATTTTACAGCTGTTTGTCGGTCTGGCTGTTGGAACCCTTTCTGGAGATGCATTGCTACATCTTATTCCTCAGGTAAGTAATAGACACTTCAGTGATTTTAAAATGTTGACACATATGCATGTGTGCATGCACGCACAGAAAAGTTTTATTTAAACCTGGATAATGCTCATCTGTTTAGAAATAAAGCTTCCCATGAAACCTACCCAGCACTCCAGTTACATTTGCACTCTGTAGTTCAGAGAGAGGTTACAAGTAGTAAGGAGCTGAAATCTGTGAATGATGAAATCAAAGAAAATAGGGTTCCTATTTTCAAAACAAACTTTTCAGAAACCCCACAAGTCCTGTGCAAGCCAAGTTTCTAGATGTGTATTAATTTCTTTCATGAGGCATATTCTGTAACATGTTTCAAGAGAAATTTTTTGGAAGCATCCACAGTCCCCTCCACATGTTTTTCCAGGGAACCAAGAGCTGTCAGCCTAGAAGTGTAATAAAATTTGTGCTATGATCTTGTCCTAAATTCATAAAATAAATTTTAAAAACAAGATAACATGCAAAACAGAACCAAATTTTCCATTGTGTATTCATTTACTTTTGACTGAGTCTCCTCTGATACGACACAGATGTTATGAGTAGAATTCTAGTGGTTGTAGAAAGAGAGCTTCACAGCTTCACTTGAGATTCTGGTCAAAATATTCTTTGTACTCAATGCATTGTCTCTGGAAGCAATACTGGGAGAATTGTTTAAGGCAGGCAATTCTCAGTGAATGTCAGACAAATGCATTTATTTTAGAAATACCTTTGGAGTGTGAAAGTATTCTCCTTCACCAGTTTTAAGTGATGTCCCCAGTAGTCTTTAAAGAGCTCACTTTCAGAGCAGAGGGAGGGCTGCCGTGCTGTGCCACTGGGGTTAAAATGGAAGTACACCCACCAGCAGAAATGGATTTATGCATTAGTTATGCATTAATTCATTTATGCATTGTTTTCACAGAATCACAGACTAGTTAGGGTTGGAAGGGACCTCTGCAGATCACCTAGTCCAACCTCCTGCCAAGGCAGGGTCACCTAGAGCAGATGACACAGGATCTCAGATGACAAGTGGGTTTTGAATGTCTCCAGAGAGGGAGACTGCACAACCTCCCCAGGCAGCCTGTTCCAGTGCTCTGCCACCTCAGTGTAAAGGAGTTCTTACTCGTGTTGATGTGGAGCTTCTTGCGTTTTAGTTGATGGCCATTACTCCTTGTCCTATTGCTGGGCACCACTGAAAGGAGTCTGGCACCATCTCTTGGCGCCAGCCTTTGAGATATTTGTATGAATTGATGAAATCCTCTCTTAATCTTCTCTAGATTAAAGAGGCCCATCTCCCCCAGTCTCACCTCATAAGAGAGATACTCCTGACCCCTTATCATCTTTGTGGCCCTCTGCTGGACCCTCTCCAGTAGCTCCTTGTCTATTTTCAATATGAAGCTTACATATTAAGATGATGCAAGTAATTTTTCATAGAGTTTATAGACCAATTTACTACAAATGAGAGATATATAAATGTGTGTATGTATATATATACACACACATACTTAAAGGGCAATTTCATAAAACATAATGTTACTTCCACCACTGAGAGATGAGGAAGTATAGCAGAGTCTGCTAATAATTAATTTCATTATCTACTATTCAGAGGATTAGCTCAAAACACAATTTAAATTTGAAAGAACTGTGGAAAGAAAATTTTGATAATAAATTGAATTAACACATGGTGGCTTGCTCTTGCAAAAATTAAAACATTGTCATTTCATTTTTTTTAACTCTGTTTTATTTTAGACTCTAGGTTTACATAAACATGAAGCACAAGACATAGAACATTTCTATGAGGGAAAAGAATATATTTGGAAACTTTTGGGAATAATTGGAGGAATTCATGGATTTTTTCTGATAGAAAAGTGTTTCTTTCTTTTAGTAACACCACGTGAACAGGTAAAGCTTTCTACAATTTATCCTTTAAAAATATCTTTTGAGACTTTACAGTGCACAGAATGTTAAAATGATTGTGGAAAATAATTATTATTTGTGTGAGATAAATGAAGCATTGATAATTGCTTTCCTAAGTGCTCCTGCAGACTGACCTTCAATTTCTACTTTGCTTTGCTCTATGGACTGTGCATGCTACATGAATGTGTTCAATATATTTATAACTCAAGAAGGGAACAGTTAATCGAATGTGTTCCACAAGCATGCATTTTGTGACTCACATTGGAGCAGGTGAAAATTATGTATCCATGTGAAATAGCAATGACAGTTGTTTACTGTAGGCCCTGTTTGAAACGGAGAAAGACATAGATGTAAGCAGAAGACATTTTCAAGAATTATATCTTTAAATTTTCAAATTGTCTTTGATCTCAACGCTTTGAAAATCTAATATGTATGTTGCAGTCAGCAGGACCCAATCTGTTATATTAATACTTACTCCTTGCTCACTGCCATGTTTATAGTAATTCTATTACTTTATTTCAGTGTGGATGGAGCCTGAAAATATGATTATGCATGAGGAGATAATGTAACACAAAATGTGATGGCTCATTAGGTTTCTCAGCATGAGACACAATCTTAATGTAACTTAAGAAGGCTAAACCTTTGCTTGTTCTGTTTTATAGAGTGTGCAAAGAATGGCCTGACTTAGATATGCAGCAATGAGTCCCTATTCCCACTATCTTTGAGTCAGCCATAAGAATATTGTGTGAGATTAATAGAATGAGAATATTTTTATGCTGGTGATGTTTTAGTTTTGTGGTAGAAAAGGAGGTCTTTTTGTTACTTATATGGAAGAAGGGCTTTATCCTTATCACACATTTTTTTTTCACTTTTTCTACTGAGAACCAGATTAATTCTCAGAGTTAGTTTTTATATCCATCTCAGCTTCAAATTTTAATTTGATTTTTAAAACAAATTAAGTTTTATTACACCAGTATGGTTGTCACTTATTTATCTGATTCACTTTTCAGGGTTTTTTAAGAAAATAAGCACCAGGAAATAGTTGATGCCAGTCAACAATCTTTTTAGATTTTGTTTTGAAAAATTAATTCTTAAAAATGCTAAATTTTCACAAAAGGCTGAGGAATGCTGCACCTGTGTTTATGGGTTTCAGAACTAATTGCAAAGCATCTTCATTCAGCAGGGCCTTTCTTTAGTTAATGGGCACTGGGGACATTCCCATGATCTTCCAGTGGAATCTGAATTAAATGAACATTCAGGCAGAGGCAAATCTACTTCAACCATACAGTTGGTAGGTTACTGATATGACATACTTCCCTGATTTCATGTTCTTCTTTCTCTATTCCTAAAAAAAAAAATGAACCAAATTAATGTAATAAATCAGTAATATTTTTCATTCTCTATTGATTTGTTGTTTATTACATTACATGATTTTTAGGAATCTCTAGATTTTGGAGTCTATAATGAGCTTTTACAGGGATTTCAAGTGCAGATATTTTACAATAACTTTTCTTAAGTGTGTATCACATTGATATAACAATTCACTTCCTGTACTACAGTTTGTTGATAAAATTCTTTCAGATTTTCCTCCTCCCTTCTTTTAAAAAATTGATTATATGTAAAGCCAGATTCTTCCAGGGAAAAACTTCAGGATTTTCTGCAGTGAGAGTTCAGTGCATAATTAGTGAATAGATTAAATCTTGAACTGTTCTTGGGTATTTTCCCCACAGATTTGAGCGGTAGCATAAGCAAGTTGGATATATGGGAATGGTGCTCACCTATAAAAAGTTACACAGTTTTACATTGGCCTGTAGATGGTATCCGGACAGACAAATCCTTGCAAACTACATTGACTCATAACTCTTTACCAGTTTTCTCTTTTTTTTTCCAACAAATCTCCTCAGTTTATATGCAGTATCTATGTACACAGGTTATTTAAATCAGAGATCCATAATGTGAACTCCATTTTACTAATTTAGTTGTGATGGGCAAGAGTCTCATGAGTCACTGCTAGTCTTTAAAACACAGTTGGGAAACTCTCAATTGAAAACAGAGCAAACAGATCAGTGAAACATGTTTACTAATTTGTGAGCCACATCATAGCTTCTTGTTTATGATAATAAATGATCATGTCATTCCACTCAGCTGCAAGATCCCCCCAAAGTTCTGTATAGATCACATGAATTATCCTGGCTTAGCTGGTTTACACAAGAGCAGCCAATTTTTCAGAATCATGTGAGTAATACTAAGACAAACACTAGTTGACTAAGAAAAACTTATAAATCTTTCAGGTCAGTGATTAGTCTTGCAGTTTTGACTCAGAGTTCAAAGAAGTGGCATGTGAATAAATATTATAGGAGAAGTGCAACAATTACTGGAATTCATATGACTGACTGTAATCACAGGAATTAAAGTTTTATTTTTCATTTAAAATGCCGAATTTGAAAAACATTCTTTCTCCTTTTCTCTTCATACTTCTACAGCACATATCCCACATCACAAGCAAGCTAATACCAGCCAATTAACATATTCTATTTTCTAGTCAACATACATCTCTGCTACAGTTTTTGGAGTGGTAGCTGCTGTCTCTAACACAGAACTCTTGTGCTGTTTTTGACTCTTCAGTGGCTACCATAATAGGTATATTTTCTAGGGAAAAAAAAAAAGGGCAATTATAAATTTAGTTTTTCTAGTTTCAAGCAAACAAGTTCTCTCTCCCTCACATGAAATTCTAATAATTTCTCTAGTCAGAAAACAAAGTCCCAGGGAGGTAGGGAGAGTGAGAGATTACTCATGTTCTCCCTTCTCTCCCCACAGTTGCAATATCTGTTAATTAAACATTGGGGCAAATGCACCAAATTAACTCTCTAGGATAAGGATGAAGATACTGCCTCTTTCTTCACTTGAAATAAGGGTAAATGTCACTCCTTGTAGTAAAGTGTACTCATGTGCTGCTATGCCCAGCCAGTGATGCCTAGTGCTGAGACAAAGTCCAGATAAAAGACAAGAGTCAGGGCACTGGAGGCTGCACCACACCGAAGAAAACCCCCTATATTTTGAAAGGGGGTGAAACCTACCTATGATCATCTTTCTTAGTCTTGTGTTTGTTGTCATGAGGAACAAGAATGCCAAAGCAATTCTACCTATTTTTCCTTGGAAATCCTATGGACACTTTCTCCATCAGGAAACCACAGTTCTAGTCATGACAAATTCAAAATGTATAATTTAAATTATAGTCTCCTTTTTAGTCTTGCATTTGGCTCAGATTTGTAGGTATTCAAGCAGATATATAGTTTTCTTGGACTACCACAGTGCTTATAAATATCTTCCTACCTGAATGAGACTGTAACCTTTTCTGGGCCAGGGAGATTTCTTTCTCATGTGTTTCTGCAGTACCAATCACACTTCCAGTGGTCAATAAATTATTCTAATTCTGTGCAAATAACACTTGACTTTTATTCAAATAGCTTGAACTTAGTTGATATTTTCCAGTATTTATAGCAGCAATTGGAAGAGCCCTTTAACACTGATCCATTATCTTTGCTTTTAACTAGAGAAGCCCAGAAGATTCTGAATCTGCTGAAGATCCTCCGGAGAGCAAGGCGATCAACAAAAAAAGTTAGTGTCAATAAAAACACAAGACAAGTAACAGGAAAGTACTTCAGACCTAAGATGGAATTGAAAGTGTGAAGCTGGCTTAGCTCTGTGTGTGCTATGTGCTACGTCACCGCATCTGATGGTGCCTGGCTACATAATTTAATCTCTGCTTAAAGACCTTCTCAGCTGCCAGCCCTGTAATTGTGAAGTTAGCCTTATACTGTCCTTGCTTTAGTTTTTGTTGTCTCACTCTTGCAATCTATTTTTCTAAAGCCTTTGCTTAAAGGGAAACATACAAAAATTAATACAAAACAGATTTTTATAATTGTAAAACTTAGCTCAGGCTTTTATTTCTGAAGGTGGTGAAATGATTGCTTTGTTGGCTCACTATACTAATATAATTCTGCTTACTTCTTCTCTTACACAGTAAAGCAATATCCTCTTTAAACCAGTAATGATTTACTACAGGTGTGGAATTACAGGCTCATGATGCCTCTCAGTTTTAGTATAATCTGTTTTCTTCAAACAGCTTCAGATAATACCTGTCTTCTGTGTTTGTTGCTGCTTAATAAAAAAAAAAACAAAAAAACCAGAAAATAGAGCATAAGTAAAATTCTGCCTTTGACTGTACCTTGTGACCTCGGTAAATTCAGTAGAGTTGCAGTCATTTGCCTGAGGGAATAATATTTTATTGGAAATCAGTTTATTTACTATAATCAGCTCCCCTTAATTTTGTGATCTCAGATCTCAGGTCATCAATGTCATTTATTTAATGATGTCAGTATCTTCTAGGTTTTTAATGTTCTCCTCTGTTCTTGTGGACTTAATTTCCATCTCTGAGACATTGGAAATCTGGATTTTCATTTCTTAAATCTCGACTCTCCAGTAGTACACGATCCAGTGCCACTTTGAGTGTGAATACATAGTTAACACTCTATATCTAGATATTTCCATTTAGTCGAATCATCATTATGTGCTAAACACAAGCCAATTTCTGGCGATCTCAATCTTATCTGTTCCAAGTAGCTAACTCTGTGATAGTTCCTCAGTAATCTTCTTTGTTTGGTATCATTTTACCCTGATACCTCAGTCTTACCTCCATATTAGAAATCAGTAAGTGAAACCTCAGTAGGGAAGGGGGGGATATTTTGAGGTTTGTTTTGTTTGGGTTTGAGTTTTGTTTTGTTTGGGTTTGGGTTTTTTTGTGAATGCATAATTTCAGCAGATACTGATCTCTTCGCTGAGCAGTAACAAGACCTGAACTGCCTGAAGTTATGTCTGGAAAGGTTTAGGTTGGATCTGAGAAAAATTTTTTCACCCAGAGGGTGGCTGGGCACTGGAACAGGCTACCCAGGGCAGTGGTCACAGCACCAAGCCTGACAGAATTCAAGAAGCATTTGGACAATACTCTTGGGCACATGGTGGGACTTTTGGGAATAGTCCTGTGCAGGGCCAGGAGTTGAACTCAAAGATCTTTGTGGGTCCCTTCCGACTCAGCCTATTCAGTGATTCTGTAAAAAGTTTGTATTGTTAGAGTTCTTTTAAATGGCTAAGTGCATAAACATACTTGGGTATCTTGGTACTGAGCTAAACTTTTGAGTGCTTTTTCCCCAAAACTGAATGGAATCTGCAGCTTTAAGACAGGAGACCGACATTTCCTCCACTGGGAGGCTTCACTCTAAATGTGTATCAAGTAGGACTGAAAAAGGAGTCAGTCACCTTAGATAGCCAGTGACTCAAAAAGCAAGAAGCTTGCTGAAGAGAATGATGTCTCACAGGCCCTCTTCTCATTTATCCACACTTATTCTGTCAATATCTGAAAAGACCAAACAGTAGCATTTTATATTTGGTATACTCAGTGACAGTTTACATTTACTAGAAATATTTTTTCAGTGTGAGGCATTGAAACATTGAATAAAGATCTATTTATGGATCAATGTTTGCTTTAAACTCTTATTCAAAACTTTAAAAGTGTAATCTATGATCAAAGTCCTGCACCCATTAGTTCTGGGTTTTTATGAAAATTATGGAATAGAATTTGCTATGAGTTCTGCAGAAAGTTATCCCTAGTTAAGCAGAAAAAAAAATAAAAAATAAGTGTCAGATTTTTAAAGAATGAGAGGTTTCATAGAAATAGGTCAGATAATAAGTTTATAGTTAATAGTTTCTGTTGAAATATAACACAGTGAGATAATTGCCAGTAACAAAGCTGCTTTAAAATAGACTGAAAGTAAATTAAGGTAAACATTCAGATTTGTTTATACATGCATCTTAAGTTTCTGTCAAGTAAGTTCACAAAGATTACAACTGTAACTGTGCCATAATGCTAACCTGATCCCTATGTTACATTATATACAACATGCTGGAGTGAGTTCCAGTAATCATCATATTCCTAACAATAAGATACTTGAACAAAACAGACTAGTAAGATCTCAGGACAGGCCACAATTTTGTCCTTACTAGTACTTATTACAAATCACAGGCTTAATGTAGTGCAGCAATCTATTATTTCTATGTAATTCATGCTCTGCACTATTGATTATAAACTGCCCATAGTGTTTAGAGAGAACTGTGCAAGCTGGGGACATCCACGTCCGGCTCTGTAAGCTGGCAGGAAAATCTAACAAGCCTGCCAATTCTTCTGAACCCGCAGAGCTCCCAGGCAACTAGGGAGGATTTTCTGAATACGGTTGTTAAGCTTTTATGTGCTGTGTGTTTTTTTTTATAATAGTCTGAAGACTTCATTTCTAGCCAGTTTCTGTAAGAAAAACATCTCACCCGTCAGTATAAAATAGTCATCTCTGAGAAGCATTAGTGAAGTGAAACCTTGTAATAACTATATTCAGGCAGTTTTGTACAGCTGCACTTTAGGTCCTTAGTCTGTCATATTATGACTATGAGGGGTCATCAAAAGTCAGGAAAATACATATTTAGGGCCCAAATCACAACCCTGCTGCTTCAGGCATGAAAGAAAGCCTTTTCAAAGTTTCTGTCCCTTCTGTATAGAGGGAAGCTGGATGAGTTTCCTAAGAAATATTAGGCAGTCCTGCTTGTGAGACTGTGGATAAAATTAATAAAACAAAGTACAGGATAGGGAAGCCAATTATGAGTTGTTAAGTTTAGACATTGAACCTATATAGAGCCTTGTTGCTACTTGAAGAGATAAACTCTTTCCCTGTGAATTCATTCAGCATGCCACCCAGCTGTCTGTGCTACAGGCTAGACAGACTGTCCCTAATTCCCTAGCTTGATTTCAGTGCTTGCATCCCTAGCAGCACCTTTCCACATATGTCATATGTCTGATCATGAACAGCCAGTATACTGTTCCACACTAAAATGAGGTCACAGAACAGAACAGAATGGGAAAGGCAAACAGCAATCTACACCCATGAGTGGTGCTCCAGATAGGAGTATTATGAGCATAACAGCCATTAATTGATTGGAATAAACTTTGGAAATAAGCATGCTGTAACCCTGTACTAATAGTGAAACGCCGAGGCTTGTTGTCTTTCAGCTCTATCTTTCACTGAAACACAGTCTCATAAAAAAACAGACCCTGCAAATATTATTTTGTGTTAGCAAGCTTTACAGGATTAAAACAATCATCTGCCTGAGACCAAATATTCATCTTCATTATAGCTGTGCAATTTTGTGAGTTTCAGAAAAATAACATCTAGAAATAACATCTAGGAAAACTTGTGTGAATTTTGACAAATAAAAAATGGTTAATAGAAACTCTTATGATGCATTCTGAGACTAGACTCAAACCTAACTTTTTGTCTAATAGTTGACCTAGTAAGAATAAGGAAGTTGCTTCCTGGTATTTGCATCTCTGAATTGTACTGCAACCCACTCTTTTTGTTTCAAATGTATTGAAGGAAATATAATAACAAGGGAAAAGGAGTTAAACACTGTTTTCCTCTGGCTATTATGATTTCTCATAATGTTATATGCAAAGTCACCAAAAATCAAAGAATTTGTAAATAACAAAAATTGCAATATCTGTCTGTGTTAAAACTTCTGGGCTTTTTATTTGTTTGTTTGTTTGTCTTTTCTGAGGTAAGAAAATCAGCTTGTTAGCAATAATGGTTCTGGTGGGTGACAGTCTTCACAATTTTGCTGATGGCCTGGTAATAGGAGCAGCATTCTCATCCTCAACAGAAACAGGTGTGACAACGACTGTTGCTATTTTATGCCATGAAATTCCTCATGAAATGGGTAAGAAATATATATGTATATATATATATATATGTATTTTTCCTGATTGGCTTTGTATTTTCAGGTTTCCCAAAGAGTTCTTTCCCATATGATATTTGTGGGTGGGAATTCTTCTTGGTTATAACATCACGAACTATGACATTAATGTGCGAGACTCCTACTTTCTTTCCCCTTCCAAAACCCAGGGGAGGCTTCTGCACTCATTATTGGATGCCATCCCATCTCACTTTCCCCAAATGTACAGGACATCAGGCCAAGGGTGACCTGTTATTCTTACGTGTACAGAGATAAAAAATTACAAGCCGAGAGCAAGAGCCATGTGTGCGTAATGGGTGTACCTGATACAGTGGGCTATCCAAGACTTTCAGTATGCAGCAGTTTCAATATTCCCCATGTTACCCTCCTTCCTGCTGCTAATCAAGAATAATAAGGTAATAAAAGAAAGCATATGACCTATTTTACCAGTGGACAGGACAGGAGGATTGTTCTATTGAATATTGTCCTCAATTAACTTCTTGTGGTAAAACTTTCAGCATGGCTGAAGCTGTTCCTCACATTGTGTTGACGAACATGTATGAAGTGGAAATTTTGAGATGAGAAGTGCAGATTCTCATTTCCATCCTTAAATAACTGAAGATTTCATGTGCTATGTAGAAAACTTCTCCAAACAAAAAGATGGAATGGGGGATTCCTGTAAAACTAGTAACTCTTGTTTGCATAGCAAAGAAATTTTAAATACTCAACAGTTACCTCCAAAGACAGACCTTCTTCATTCTTGGGCAGTAGTGCCCCTGTGTCAAAGTGGCATTTTTACAATCACAGAGTAGAATTTTTAAACTCTCATGCCGTGGACCTGTTATGAAATCCTTTATTTTAGAAGAAAAATCTGTGATGGGATTTTGATGTATGACTCACTACAGTTGATTAGATTATACAGTGGAATTAAATTCAAACTAGAATCAGACTGGCATAGGTTACTCTGACTTGCAGCACCTGTAAAACACTCAAAGACCATGCTGCAAATATACCCACATGTTTTGAACTGGTAAGTTCCCAGTGGAGAAAGATTTAGAAACTCTGGGAAAGCATGTGACTTCACTTTTGCTTGTATCCAAGTTGGAAATGTCATGGAACATCGAGAACTAACAGAAAGCTGCTCCTGTATACTATATGCTATCTTTAGGAACAGCTAAACAAATACAAGTAAATATTACTTTTTTGTCGTTTTGAGTTTTTGGGTATTTTTTTCATACAAGATGAGTTTATAACTAATTCTACAGAAATCTAAAGGCAACCCTAGGCCATTCACTATCTTTTATGCATGTCTTAATTATTTTCCTTCATGTTTTATTACCAAGAGTCTTCCAAATACGTTTATCAGCTAAATAATAAATTTTCTTTCTTTTTCTCTGTGCAGGAGATTTTGCTGTGCTGCTAAGTACAGGGCTCCCCACGAAGATTGCAATTCTGATGAATTTTATAAGTGCACTAACAGCATTCTTAGGACTTTATATTGGCCTTTCTCTATCAACTGACCCATCCATTCAAAACTGGATTTTTACTATTACAGCTGGAATGTTCTTGTATTTATCTTTAGCAGAAATGGTGAGAACTTCAGTCTGTGGGTATATTTTCCTTTCAGCATAGCCACACATTATAGATGAGTGTCAGACAAATGCAGGTGGATGAATGTGGAGACAAAAAGAGTTCATAGGCTTGTTGGGAAGAGCATGTTGTCTGCCCTGTGCGTCTACAGTACTTTGAACAGTAATCTGGTTTTATTTCATGTCATTCTCATGCTTGGTGTCATTAGTAAAGAAAAGGTGAAATAAAGGTCATTAAGAGGCTAATATATGAGAAAGGCATAAAGGACTTTTAAAGGGGGAAAGGTAAACAGCATATTTTTAATTACTTAGTAAAACTTAATTTGAACCTGCAGGGTTTTTTAAAATCCTGAAGAAATTGGTTACTTTTTTGTGCCCTTTTCTTTAAATATTTTTCATCCATTCTTTCAACATGAATTTGCTGTTTCTGAACTAAAATGCAAAGATGCTTATCGTGCACTCTTCTTTTCTGTCTTGAAGAGGTTTGGATGAGCTCCTAAGTAATTCAAAAGCCATCCCATTGCCTCATTTTTTTCATATTTGCCCAACATTTTTCCTAATTCCAGTTCAATAGAAATGACCTGACTATAGAAAAATTGTGTGAAGATATGCAGTAGGAGAAAGGTCTAAGGACTGTACAGAGACGTGGAGGCATCCTAGCTCATGCAGATGTCTTGGGCCCCGTCATTTATTGAAGAGTTAGCTAACTGTTACACTTGTAGCAATGCAGAATTTAATTGCTTCCCAGCTTTGTCACATGGTCTTTCACCATCATGTGTTGATGTAAACTTGCTTACAAGCTCCTGAACAGAGATGAAATATTTTGAGTGATTAGATGAAGAGGGAGAAAAAAAATTATCTCTTCATTACTGTGTTTTCCCCAAGCCTCACTGTCTCTCAGTTGTGTTCTCTACCACCCCCCACCTTATGCCTGAGATATTAGTTACCAGCTTCAAGCATAATACTTTAAACCTGATATTCCATTCCAGTATTATAAACTATTTAAAGTCCTACTTATAATAATTGACCTTAGACCTTGGTAGTATTTATTCTATTTTTTGCTATTGTAACTAAAGTGAACATAAAGTGCTCCTAAGAGCTTAAGAGGGAACTGCCTCAGGATTGTGGATGTGTCAACAGTCCTGACTGAGGCGGTAAATAACAGACAAGAACACTGTGTACCAAGCAGCAGCTTGTTCTGACTCCGAGAAATTGGAAATGAGACTGCCTACCTACTGAGTAGGCATGGTTGTACTAATAGGGCTAAGAATGATATAGACGTATTTTGCAATCAATGTAGGATTAGCATTCATCTGGGATCCACGAGCTTCTAGAACAATACTATGTTTTTCCCTGAGTCTTCAAAGCACTGTGCCAGCCGTAAATCCCAAGAGATAATACAGTTCCAGGCAGAGACAGAGACACGTTTTCCCTTGTTCTCAGCTTGTCACCATAATCTTGGTCTTGATGTGAAGAGTAGAAAGAAGGGAGAGAGAAGGATCTTATTTCTCTCATACTTTTTATTAATAGGGTCTGTATATTCTCTGTATCTCTTTATCTATTTCTCTGTATGTTCTCTTTAGTCCGCTCCTCTATGTTTGTCAGAAGTGTCAAATATCCCAGGGATTAATTTATTCAAAAAAATTATTCATGTAGCGCTGTGGGATCTGGTAGATCTGAAAAGTTTTGTATTTTTCAACTTTCTGCTCAGAAGTAGCTTCTATTCTCTGCTGCATTTTCATCTACAAGCAGCAATCATCAATGTTCCTGCCCATGGTGTACAAACACTTTACAGAATACAAAGCTTGACTGTAATTTTCAGTACTTGTTTTATGGGATTTCACATATTCATGTGCTTGTCAGAGCAGCAGTTCAGTAAAACTGAACAGCCTCGCTGGTTTCTGCGTTGAGGAACATTGAGGGGTATGAGTGGAGGTTTATCAACAAAATAGCACTGTGAGACTGCTGCCAGAGTCAAGTTAGCACAAAACTACTTCTGTGGTTGATTAAAGGCTTTTCATTTTGACAAATGGCATTCTATCTCCATTAGCAAGCAGGGTGGAACAATCATTTTAAAAGTTGAAAAAAAGGACAAAGGATAAAAGCATTTATATCCTTCATAATTTTTCACCAAGAAATTATGCAAACCTGATGTTTGCTCTGAAAATAAAGGAGGAGTGTTTAAAGTGATTTACCGGGCTGTTGCAGTGCGACAGTCATGCCATATGCCTCAGCTTAGTGGAACTCCTTTTTAGGCTGAGAGCCCCTCATGCCTCCTTTCTGCATGCTGCTTCCTATTTCTTATCTTTTGTGTGGTCACAATAACATGAGCTGGAGTGAGAATAGAGTAGTCCGTTGATGTGGTGCTATGTTCCCTCCATTTTTGAAGTGGTTTGCATCTGCCAGTTGAACAGGCTTATGCTTCCTAAACAAAATTCACTCTGCTGTACCCCACAGTTTGTCGTTCAGAAAGAGTTGGGGAACCATGGCTAATATTGTGACAGCAATCATCTTTTGTTTTTACAGATAAGCAGGGATGTCACACGAGGTATGGTTGTGAAAATGGTCTGTGTGTTGATGATATGCACATAGGTTAGAAAGAGGGAGCAGGCACTAGCATTGGACATGGGAAGGGCACTACCTGAAGAGAACTCTTTTTGAAAACTGTCTTAGAAACCTGCTGTGTATGTGTGTAACTCAAAAATTGTCACTGACAGCAATAAGAGAAAAGAGTAGATTTTGCAGTGGGAGGAGAAAAAGTTTGGAGAACTTCTTCACTCAGGCACTGGGGAAGAGGACAAAATAGACTTATTATAAGGATAAGTAAGAAAGACCAAATGTCTAGACTGGAAATCTGGATTCAGGCTTAGGTCCTAATTAACAGTTTTTGCTTAAATATACAACAAAAATCATGTGCTCTGGGCATTTACAAACTGTCAGTTCAGATCTTGATTTACATCAGAACTTTGAGGTGTTTGCACTCGCTTTGGATCAAAAGTTTCTGATGATCTTTAAATACAGTTCGAGTATAACTACATGAGTTTCTTTACCATATTTTAAACCACTGCCGAGTTGTAATGAAGATCCAGGGCGTTTGAGTTTGCTTGTTATTTCCAGGCAAAACTTTAAAGGGGAGGATGATTTTCCATTACAGTTTTCTTTTGGGCCCATGACAACTTACAGAGGTAGAAGAGTGCAGAAGAGGCAGCCCCCGAGACCCCCCCACCCCCGACAGAGGAAATGACAAGCATTGCAAAAACTCATTAGCCTCCTTGGTCAGCACCACTCCACTGTCTCCCAGTGGCTGCTGCTGTTACAGCTACTGTAAGAGGTTCCAAAGAGCAGAGGAACTCAGTAGCTTTACTCAAGTGCAGGCTGTGAGTGGAGCAGACAAAAAATCCCAGCCAAAACCAGAGGTCAGCACCAGGCCATTGCTTTATATTTATTTCCTGAGTTGATGTGAAAGTATTAGGAGTCATTAGTGTTTCTTCTGGTGTCTATAAGACATAAAGAAAAATATTAAGAGAATTTGAGCCTGAGGCATCATTTTCACAGGCCCTGTTTAGACATACATTTAGTTTAAAAGCTTTGATAAAAGAGACCATGTAGAGTGGAAGGTCAATGTAAGTAGTTTTTAATATGATTATAAACAGGTGCTGCTCCTTTACTTGATTTAAAACTCAGAGAGAAAAATATTAAACACAATTTTTCCTGTCTTTCTCTTGTGCATTTACTAAAGCCCAAGTAAATAGGAGTGTTGCCAGTTATTTCAGAAAGAGCATGATTGACCCTATATTTAGAACTGAAACAAAAAATACTCCAACTAATTTATTCCCATAAAAGGGAATCACTAATTTTACTAAATAAGAATTTCCTTGCAGATAGCTATATGAAATTGCTACAAACTATTGAGAAGTTGACAAATTTTGGAATCTCATTTATAATTCTTGTCAGTGCTAGTAAAAGAACGAAAACTGGTAGAATTTGATTAATATAAATATTTCACTGTAAAGATCAGCTTTGTTACAATGTACAGAAAATGCTGCACATTAATAACTCACATTCAGAAGCTCAGCATTTTGAAAAGTTTTCGGGTTTTTTTTAATGAAGTTTGCCTTGTTTTCCCATAACTTTTTTTCCCACAGATGAATGTATCTGGCTCTCATTCTGGTGTCTTATTCTTTTTTTAGCTTCCTGAAATGACTCATATTCAGACGCGGCGACCCTGGTTGATGTTTCTCCTACAGAACCTTGGATTACTATTAGGCTGGCTTTGCCTCTTACTTTTGGCTATTTATGAACAGAAAATTAAAATATAAGTTTTCTGTTGGAAATATTGAAGTACCACTTATGACAGTGGATAGCATTATTCATAATTTTATCATGTCTGCTATAGTGATATATAAATTAAGTTGCTGGGATTTTATATCTGAACAGTAGATAACTATTTTACTTTATTAACTTATTGTTCAGATTTCATAATTATTTTTTTGTAAGCATGAATGTTTAGAATTATGTTTTGTTTGTTACTGAGTTTACCAGATGCCATGCTCAAACTCACAGGAGCTTTTGATTAATTTTTATTGAGAGTGTTCTAGTTGAATGCTCTAAGTGATCTCTGCCAGTCTGATTTGAAGAAAAGAATAAAGCATTTTAATATGCAATAATTAAAGTGGACTAACCATAGTAGAATAATTTGAATAAGAAATGGTTTTTTTGCCTCTTAGTACAAAAAAATTAAAGTATTTCTATAAATCTAAAAAGTATAGGGAAACTAAACTGCTAAATGGCATATATCATCTCATAATGTCTGTACTATCTATTTTGTCAACATAAAGATCCTCAGCAGTCATATCTTACTGGTCCACTGTGGCAGAAAAAAAAAAAAAGACAAGTGTAAATGTTGAAGTTTATGACCTAGAAATTTTTTGAACTGCAGTACAGTTTCTCATACACGTGATGGAATCTATGACAGTCAAGCACTGGACTACCTGCCCCTTGCATTATCTTACCCCTAGTGGTTGCTCATAGCAAATGCTTATGAAGGACTATAAGAAATATGTTTAATTGTTTTTCACTGATATTCCTTCCAAGCTCCTCAAATGAAGAGATCCTTGAGCCAAACGTTGCTTCTGAAATATCACATTTAATAAACACCAGTAGTGTCTTCCTGTCAGCAATTAGCTTATTCATACATATACAATGCACATTCTGGAAAGAGCTTTTTCAATTGTCTAAAGTGCATGTGGCCTCACTGCAACTCCTCCCATCGTGAGTGGTTTTTGTGTAATTAGTCCTCTTGATTTCAAGGGAATTCTGCATAAGTTGAGATGATTCATTTAATTTAGTATTGCAGAATCAAGTCTAAAACAAATATACAAATTCTGCCCTGACTCTGAGGTGCTGGGAAACTACCAGGATGCACTGAGCAGTGCTCAACTGTGTGATATCAAATTCTGATGTGAGGACTTCTCCCCTACCTAGTTTATAGTTTTGTAAAAAACATATTCTTTATGCAACAACCAGAAATATTTTTTTCGTTGTCTAAACTCAAACTTGAAATATGTCTACATCATGACACAAAATGACTTTCTCACAATGTGTCCTGTGTTTTTTTGATATCTCCTGGTGAAGGTACAATTATTCTCAGATTATAGATGAGAACAGTCTACACCCTAGAGTAAACTGTCAGACCTGTCAGTTCTCAAAAGCTTCACAGACATCAAACTAACTTATCAAAAAAGTATAAAGTGAAAACACAGCACCAAGCCTGTCTGAGTTCAAGAAGCATTTAGACAATGCTCTCAGGCACATGGCGTGATTCTTGGGGTTTCCTGCACAGGGCCAGGAGTTGGTGTCAATGATCCTGATGGGTCCCTTCCAACTCAGCATATTCTATGATTTGATGATAGCCCAGATTCATGGACTTGTGATCCTAGTTACCCACAGAATAACCACAAGGAAAAAGCCACTTAAGGATCAATTTAAAGATAGATTTGCACTTATTTTCAATGCTTGTTTGTTATGAAAATCTGTAGCAAATACCCCAATGCACATCTAAATGTGAACGTAGACATTTACATGCCTTCAGAAGCCTTGTCCCAAGCACTTTATCCACAGTCACACAGGAAGTCTCCATCTGACTAGGGGAATAAACTGAGCTATTTTTAAACTCCCAAGTAAGATCCTAGCTTTTTTTTTTTATTTAGGTGTGCAAATATTTTGACTGCTTTTTCTGTTGATGTAACTTTGAAAGGTGAGCTGAGAAACCATGACTGATGCTTATCTTTTCAAAGTTTACATTTTTTTCGGGCAACTGGGCTTCCTTTTAGAAAGGCAAGATTTTTAAAAAGTGGTTTCCCACTATTGCATCTGTTTGTATTGGCACTGAGTCACTCCGTGACCTTCAGCTGTGACAGTCAATTCAAGCAATATCAGGGCATCACTGGACATAAGCAGAATCTATTCTTGTATCAGATGGTGTGAATGAATATTGGAAACATGTGTTATTTCAAAGAGAAGAGCTACCATAGTTTGAATGTTTATGTAGGCCTAATGTTCACTACCATAGAACACAGGATTACCAATATGAGCATGTTTTGATAGTGTTATTATATTCTGAAATATTTTTCTACTATTTATTAATGTGACTGAAAGAGAAAAGTAATTTCTGGCAGAGTGTACTTTAAAGTTGCGTATCAACATCCTGACATGATCTGTGAACATATTCTATCCATATCTATTCAGAAAATGCCATCTTTTGTCCATATGTATTTTTCAGGTAGCTTGATTATATTAATAATCAGATATATTTATACAGCTCCCACCACAAGCACAGATATGTTGATCAGAATGCCAGTTAATCCTTATTTCTGCAACAGAGCTCTTACGCTTCTGTGGTGTTTGTCAGTCAGTGAGCAGTTCAGTCATCATTTTGCCCTGGTGTCAAATTCAAACACCTGAAGTCTCTTTAGTTTATGGAAGTTTGAATTCCTGTGGTACTTGTGAGAGAACTTATCTCACTACTTACAGTTAGTGCCTCTACTGTAAAACTCTTTACATTAGTGTCTTTAAAAAGACACTGAAGATAAAAAAAGGCTAGGCTATATATTAGGAACCTTATGTCATACAGAGGGCTGGAAACTCTTCCTATAGATCTCTAAAATAGAAAAGTAAATAAGTTTAAAACCAAAGAGATCCACCTGCAGAATTCATGTTTTCAGTCAATGTTCTTTAAAAATTCTAAGAAAAATAATAGAATATAGTTTTGTGTCATTACAAAAGGGAAGATTGTGCACAAGTATTCTCATGATGCATTCTCTGTTAGTTTAAGTTCTGTAGAGTTTGTTCATACAGATTTGGAGCAGAAGTGTTTTAAAGTCAGTTAAATGTCTTTCTCTTCCTTCAAACATAATTGACAGTGAACATAATATGCCAGTGTTTTCACTGAGTCAAATCCTGAGTAAGGACTGCAGAACTTCATCACTTGCAGACCTTAAATCATGACTAGATATTTCTCTAAGAGGTATGCAATTACTCAAACAGATGTGCTTGATGGAGAGATTACTTGGTGTGGTTTTGCAGCCTGTCAGGCAGCTCTGACTAGATAATCATAATGTTCCTTTGAAACTCTAAAATACATGAATCTGTAGATACAGGAATTTTTCTGGAAGAAGCTGGTTAGCATGTCTCCCTTTCATCTATTCTTAGTTTTCAGGCACTCTCAAGATGAAAAATATATCTTGCTTTCCTATACAGAAAATTAGAGAGAAAAGGAAAGGTTGAAAAAAATTCGTTTGCCACAGTATTTTTTCCTGGAAGTTAAGTGGTAGAGGGCCTCATAAAACATATTTCCAATTCCAAACTACCATCACTCCTAAGCATGAGAGCTGACCTTGTACCTCTCTTTTCTGTATATGTTACACATTACCCAGTGACTCCTAAGATAAATAGTACCTTCTTTGTAGCCAGCTATGCTAATGCCCTCAGAAGTTTCTGGAGCCCATCTGCATGTTTTAAATACTGCTGTCTATTCCTTTACTGTATTTTATGCTTTAAATATGATTGTGGCATTTCTCCAGAGAAAAAAAATCCCTCTTTCATGTAAGAAAAGATAGTTTTGATATTTATATTTGTGTTGTTTTTCTATCACCTTGCCATTGCATTTGAGAAAGCAAATGATCATTGTAACAATTTTTATCCTGCAGCTGGAAACCAGGTTTATATCTGTCTGAAGTATGGATTAGGGCTGATAATTTTATGATAAGGGCATACTTTATCAATGTTGTTAGCTCTTCTTTCTTAACTGTAACCTTTTGTCAAGTCTTCCTCTCATTTTGAAAATAAGCTGCCATCTATTGTGAGTGTAGCTGTAGGAATGTGACTACAGCAAATACAAGCAGTTGTTACACAATAGCTTTAATCAAAACAAAAAGTCCTGCAATTTATTTTACTAGACCCACCTACATTCCTTTCTCCCCAAAAGAACAAAAAAATCCACACATGGAACTGTTGCTTTGGGTCACGTAGGGGAATGTAAAAAGTGCCTCCTTCCTTTTATGTCCCTGATAACAGGACCAAGCACAACGGGAGACCCTGCCTAGGCACCCGGGTGCATTGAAATCACTGCCAAGCTTCCGTCAGCGGCAGTGCAGAACAGCGTCCTGCTGCAGGAATTTAGAGGGCTGGTGCCGCTTCTTCTTGCAGAGGTGACAGGAAACAGAGCAGGCGGAGGCACTGCAGAGAGGAGCATCTCAGGGTGACACTTCAGCAGCTGCAGCAGGATGATCAAAGGTTTTATAGCTGTCTCTGTAAGACCCTGCAACAGCTCACTTCAGGGCAAATTCTCAGACGTTCTTGTTGTCTTGGCTTTGGATGTAAAAGATACCATGGAAGCAGTCTGGCTGATACCTCTGTGAGTGCAGGCTCCCACAGTGCAATAATCCACAGGACCCCAGCAGCCAGGGTGACCCAAGGGATTCCCAGGGTGGTCCAACTCCACATTACAGCTGCAGGGCACCTAAAGGGAGCACGTCTAGGCAGTCTCTCCTCCCCATGGTCTCAGCTCTGACATTGCCAGAGAGCATTAAACACAAGATTACCTGCCACCCTAAATGCATCTAAATGCACATTTACATACTGGTCCAAGAGAACATCGACCAACCGCTAATGCAGTGCTCTAGATGTCTGTACATGTGACATCATTTTTTTCCCCCTGTCTGGGGAACCCTCTGTCATCCTTTCCCCAGGGGTCAGCAGGACCTAATTTGACCTGTCCCAGAGAGATGACAAGAGATAAGCATAGAGGAATAGAGTAGTCAATTATTATGACATATTCCAGTGTTAATTTAAGATCCCACCAACTTCGTATCCACGGACTCTCATGCTTCAGGGAAGGCACCAGGACAATGCCTGTACTGGTGTGTTTAGTAGATGCCCAGGCTGTCCTCTCTGCGGTATATGGAAGATGAATAGCAGCCATAGCTCAGGCCTGACAGTTGTTTCAGAGTATCCCAGTTGTTCCTGTCATTGCATCTGCCAGCACACCATCTTGTAGGAAAGTTCATTTTAATTTTTCCAGCATTTGAACTTTCTAGCATTTGTCCTGTGACCTCCTACGCAAATATCATAACCCATAGGATATGAGCTCTTACCTGTTCTCCTCCACCACCCATGCTGGTGGTTTTGGACCACTATGTTGCAGCTGTCTGTGAGTTCTTATGCTCTGAAAGGGAAACAGAATATTGGAAATTTCACTGAGGATCACACAGAAAGAGATATTATTATCTACACATTGGTATCAGCAATGCACCTCTTATTGAATAGACACTGCTGTTTGTACTGAACACAAATAAATCACTCTTGTGATCTCACACTGAAGTGTGTTGGTGGTTTCTTGGTGGTCTTGGGTGGTTCTATCATTAACAACTGGTAGTTTGTACTGATTTCAGAAGTTCATAGGCCATCTACATATTCATGTGCAGAGGTGTAGTATGAGCTCTGAAGCAAGAGTACATTTACTTTATGGCTGCCATCCCTTTTCAGAAGTGGGTGGGTATTGCACTCAACTATACAACCTAATGTCAGCTCTATACATGGTACAGTGACTCAGCAGCAAGTAGCTATAATTATCAGCAAGTTTAGAAAGTTGCAAGTGGACAATATACATCTGGCAGTGTAGTATGCCCAGGACAGCATAGCAACATTCAGAAAACGTGACATCCATACTGAGCTAGATCCATGAATGCAATTCTTTTCCCAGGTACAATCCACATGAGGAGTCCCAAGCACATTAGAGTCACTCTGTTATACTTCAGAACTTCAATGATGATAATTTTTTGTGCACTTTTCTCAAGGCTTCAGAGGAAAAGATGCAATGGAGAATAAGGCCTCTTCTTTAATATGGTAAAGAAATGAACACAAGTCATAACACACTCTAAATTGCACAGTGATTCATCATCCTGCACAAATGCAAAGCATCTCCCTTTTCACTTGAGACAAACAGGGTAAAACAGATACATAACAAGAAAACCAGAACTAGGAAGTATCCAAGAGAAAGTTCTTGTAGATGAAAGTGTAAATGACAAAACAAACAACAAATACATTAAAAGTATTACTGTCTCCTCATTGTTGTCCATTTTCATTGGCAAACACAAACCCCACAGTTCCCTCAAATGTTTCTGGAAAATATCGTGGCTGAGAAGTCAAGCTTTAATACTGGAAATAGTTCACATATTACTAAACAGATGACTTTTAATAACTCTTAAACTTGAGACAGGCATTGAAAAAAATATGATCCATATGTTCATAGCCATACAGTTTGGAAAATACATATTCATAGTTGATGAAATCAGTATAATTTTGTGTGCAGGATTTCAGCTCCATCTCAAGTAATGAGAAGAAAAAAAAAGCTTATGAGAGCATAGATCATTTTCTATCATTTTCTACTACCATAAAACCTAGTTTTCAATTTGGCTTTCTTTACTTGCAATTAGCAAAAATATGCCATTTGTTTCCTCTCTAGACAACAGAGTAGCCGAGTATCTGGTGTTTCTGGCATCATTAGGGTGGACTAAGAAAGCACATGACTATTTGCTGTAAATTCCTTTCTATCATGTAGTATTTTAATACACCATAAAAATTCTTAGGTTGGATTTCACATAATTAACCCTTCATTCTTGACCCTGATTCCTCTTTATGGAAGTAATTCTAGGATAGAAGTGTTTTCTAGAAGTAATTGTTATGTATTTCATTTGAGTGAAGTGGGGCTTTTTGCTTCCTTTGCTTCCTTTCATTTCATTTCTCTCCCTTAACAAAACTTAATTTGTCAGAAGAGCTTCCTAGCCTTTTTTTTTTTTTTTTTTTTTGGTTGTCAGAAAGCATACTCCATCTTCAAAACCAAAAAGTAAAGAAACAATGAAAAAACCCCAACAAATTATTTAAACCTCATGGTGTCGTGGTACAAATACCAACACAGGTATTCACCAGTCAGTTTACACCAGACTGCAAGTGATCAGATCTCCTGCACATCTTCAATCACTCTTTTTTAAAGTTATTGCTTCCCAGCTGAGATGTATTAGCTGGCACTGGGTATGTGCCTAACCTTTTGCGAATTCTCAGTAAAACAATTGCTAACCAATATCACTTTTACAGCCTACTAGCACTACAGACAAAGACATAGAAAAATAGTTTCTAATTATGGATAATTATTTGATTTAGGTAATATAAACTGAAAATTTCTAAGAACTTGAAGTAGATAAGAGCTTGCAATATGTTCATGCAGTTTGTAGTTCTGGTATGAATGCAAACCACAGCAATATGAAGAGTTGCTTTTGAATATCCCATATTAATGTCATATAAGAGATATTCCAAACCTTTCCTTCTTCCTTCAGAATTCACAGTACAAAGGGTATGTCAGACAGGAAGAACAGACCTTCAGGCCCTTGGCTTTCTCAAGAATTATCTTTTTGTAGTTCAAAATGGCTATTTGAATAGTAAAAAGGCCCTTTCCTCTCTCTGCACTCTTTTCCTACATATTTCAGGAATAAACCACCTTTTACAAAGAATTGCCAAGTTTTTTCCCCAGTGAAGTTGGTGGTTCACATGGTAAGACACCCAGAATTTTGGCAGAAGAGACATTCACGTTCACTATACTTATGGTTACAAAACAGCATCAGATGTCAGATTCAGACTTTACTCCCTAATGTTCCTAAAATCAGTGTTTACTTTGTAGCATGTAAATGCATAAACCACTTCTGAATTCTCAGGTTAGTTTTATATTGGTAAAATTTTGCTAAAAGCAATATTTTCTGCTTCATGCTATTTTAAACAAAAGGACAACATGGGCTTTTGCATTCTTTATAACAAAACCCACAAGTCTGCACAGTGCCTCTGTTACTGAGATCTACATGATAAGGAGATCATCTGAAATACAGCTGGCAACCAGCACTGTTTCTCAAGTACTAAAAGTTCCTAGGCAGTATGTTTGATGAAAAACACATTGCATGTTCATTTATCCCCTATGTCTATTTAAAATGTAAGATATAAACATCTCTTCTGCAGACCAACTCAAAAAACCTATATCTGGTTTACATCCTTCAGTCACTGCAATGACATTTCATTAGCTAATCCATTGTGGAACTGATTTTTAACAAAATAGAAGTAAATTTGATTTGTTAAGTTTAACCAGATCATGTAATACCCTTCCAGTAAGTCTGCCCCTACGGTTCTAGCTGCCTTCTGTTATTGTTTTCTGGTGACAGACAGGCTGCTGCAAATACTTCTACCATAATTAATCTGCTCCAAGGGGAAGAAAAGAAAAAGGAGTTGAAAGTAAACTTCTAAATGACATGGTGCTGCACCTTACAGTGTAAATGGGTCCTTGCGGTTTTTAGGTCTATGAAGATAAGACAAATGAGACAGAACAAATCCCCATGCAGTAACAGGCAAGGAGCAGTGTTTGGTATCTCTGTGATGCTAGATAATAATCATCAATGATAATATAAGAGTTTTAGCACTAGATTACTTGTCTTTAACTCTACTATTGTTGGCTACATCTACCTTTTTCACTCTAATTATACAGTCTTCTATATTACCTACTAAATGAGAAAATAATCAATCAGACTCTCTCAGAGAAAATATAACGAAGAAGAGAGTTCCTTCCCAAATGAGATTTTGCCATGCCTTGTCTATCACGTTATCCCATCACGTGAGTTCTGCAGAATGATGAGAAAATGTAAAGACAGAATACAAAACTCAGAGACTTCCAAACAGTTTTAAGCAGCATCAATGAGTGCTTCAAGTAACCCCTAGGGCTTTGTAAGTTTGTCAGTCTGTCTATCAGTAGTTAGATACAACAAAAGAAACTCCCTTATGTGTATGGTCTTATCTCTGCAATAAACTTTGCAAGAAGGGCAATAGAACAGAAAAGAACTCTCAGGGAAAAGCCCCAAATATCCTGTACAGAAACCATCTGTTTCTAGGAATGGCTAATACAAAAAGAGCAAAATATCTTAATCTTACCTTTCTCTCTACAGTTCAGAGGCCTTTGAGATTGCAGACATAATCCCTTAACCAGTCTGGGTATGGAGAACTGGATCTAATCCTCTCCTGAGAGCACACACCCTTTCCACTGAAGATCTGAATCTGGTCACTTTCCCCTTTTAGATGTTGGCTGAAGAAAGCAGTTCTTCCAAATTGTATAAAACATAACAGCAGACCAGAATACTCAAAAGCTAGTCCAAAACTAGCTAATACCAATTTCAGGGATTTCTTCTGTGTTTTCTCCAAGTCCTACAGTTTCTTTGAGCAAACACTAGAATCCACAAGGGATTAACTGCTCACCAGGCTGAAGAGCTACAGATTCAGAGAAGAACTGAGGTGGGAAGATGCCTCTGGAGATTCCCTAGTCCCACCACCCTTGCTCAGAGCGGGCTCAGATAGAGAAGGTTGTCCACGATCCTGTCCAGCTAGGTTTTGAGGATCTCCAAGGATGGAGACTGCACAACCTCTTGGGCAACCTGTGCTAATGCTCAATCACCCTGTTTCAATTTGTGCACATCACCTTTTATCCTATCACTAGATACCACTGAGAAGAGTCCAGCTCCATCTTCTTCATGGCAACTGTTTAATTTAAGTATCCATACTCATTAATACGATGCACCCAACTCTTCCCTGCTTCAGGTTGCACAGTCCCAACTCTCTCAGCTTCTCCTCATGCAGCAAACGCTACGAGCCCTTAACCATCTTTGTATATCTTTGCTGACCTTGTATGTCCAAGTGTCTGTTGTCCTGGGAAGTTCAGCACTGGTCCCAGCTCTCCAGATATGCCTCACCTACTCATGTGGCTGAGTAGAGAGGAAAGGTCACCTCCCTCATCCTGTTGGCATTGCTGATGGACAAGCTGGATATGAGCCAGCAACATGTCCTTAGAACAAATAAGGGCAAAAACCTCCTCTGCAAAGCTACTTTCTAGCTCGTTCCCAGAGTGTAATGGTGCGTGGGGTTATTCCTCCCCAGGGCCAGGACTTAGCCTTTCCACTTGTTGAACTTCATGACATTCCTCTTTGCCTGTCAAGGTCCCTCTGAATGGCAGCACAACCCCCAGGCTCTGCTGCCAATCTCTCAGTTCTGTCCCACCTGTAAGTCACATTCTTTTTTTTCTCTTTCTCTGACCTACTGCCTAAATTAATTCTTATGGAATTCAAACGAGAGCAGAGGAGTGTTGCTCCTCAGCATTGCCATTAAGTGTGATGTAAACAGAGTTCTTTTGGGAGTAGGAGACAGGGATTTCAACCTCCTACTGATGAAAGCAATGAGCCAATATCTCCAGCAAAGTTCTTAATGCATTATATATCTTGTCTAAGCATAGGAA